TTTTATTGTCACCCGTGCACAAAAGCAGCAACAAAAGAAAAGAAAACCCAGCGAAAACAACAACAACAATACAACTACCCTCGGTTGGGACCCCAGAAAGGGAGGGTTTGTTTTCTTCATCTTGATCAGTCCTGCCTAAGACGGTCATCTGTCTTATACGGCCACTTTTCTCCTTGACAATGGGTGGCCGTCTTACACAGGTTCGACTGTATTTATTCTTTAAAAAGTGATCACTCATTTCCGGAGTAAAGCTACAGAAAAGCGGGTGCTTTGCGCGTGCTCTGGTGTCATTTGCTCCTTCTTCTCAAATACTTTTTGTCTTCATCTCTCCTCCATCTCTTTTACGTTTGTTACTCTTTTGTAACACCTATAATCTTTGGCACTTATACGACATTGTTTGTTTGAATGTAAGACCTGACCAGTGTGGGTTGGGTTTGTTTGTTTGTTTGCTTTTGTTGTTTGTTTTGTTTTGTTTTTGTTTAATTTTGTTTTGGGGTTTGTTTTTTCACTCCAGGTATAACGGCATTCAAGTCGAACAGTCTCCATAGAAGCGGCGTGCAGACAATCGGGTAAAATAACGTGGTCTTTGGCTGGAGTCTTTGCAGCTCGTTTACTCTTATTTCCGTTACAGTTGGCTACGGATGAGTTGATGTCGTCGGGGGGGGGGGAAGATCAACTCATCCGAAGTTCTACCTTAAATTAACCGTTGGGATCGGTAAAGAAAAAGAAACGAGGGGATCAGAGAAAAAGACCAACAGTCTTAACAGAAGATCAACTCAAGCGAGTTCAACACAAATGGGGTTGACTGTATTTTCATAAATTTTTGTTTTAATTCAGTGGGCTTGTTGAATCATTTGTGAGGCAGCGTGGTGGAATCAGGCTCTCGTCAAAATATTGAAATCAAATATATTGGCATTTCTAAGCTCAGCAGCTTTTATGTCAATTTAAAAACACATTTCTGTGTGGCTTATCCCGAAAAATGTTGATTAAAGGTGCAAAAAATGTAAATTTTCAGTTTTCAAGGACTCTCAGGCATTGAAAGATACCAAACTTTGGGGGTCATTTTCTCCCTTATTTTTCCTCTGAAATCAGGTTACCCTACTTACTTCAATCATAAATATTTCGACTTCTATTAAATATAGATGGGTACTTTTTTAACAGAAAAATAGACAAATGAACAGGCTTTAAGATGACACCAATAACTCCACATGACAAAAGATTGACGAGAGCCTGATTCCACCACACTGCCTCACATTTTGAGTTTTAGTAAAGAAAAACACATTGACACCATAGTGACCTTTTAGTGTGAGGGGGGGGGAG